AGTTGGATTTGTGGCCACGGTGTACCAGAAGACATTGTCAGCGACCGCGACACTCGTTTCATGTCGGCGTTTTGGACTGCTCTCATGCAGGAGTCCGGCACAACAATGAAACCAAGTTCGGCTCGACATCCTCAGACAGACGGGCAGACGGAGCGGGCACATCAAACTGCTCAATTGATGCTTCGTACGCTCATTCGTCCGGACCAGAAAGATTGGGTTGACTGCCTCCCCGACATCGAGTTCGCCTACAACACTTCGGTGCACCCGGCGATCRGCGTGACTCCATTCGAGTTGCACCACGGTGGACGGAAAGGCCGCATCTTCGCCGACCTTCTCCTCCCTCGACCAGCCGACATTGACGCCGCTTGCTCCCCCGCTTCCGTTCGGAAGTACAGGACTTGCTGACTCAAGCCCGCGCAGATATGCGAAAGGCTCAAGTTCGCATGCAGCAGCAAGCCAACAGGCGTCGCGTACCATGTCCCATCCGCGGCGGTGATCTGGTTTGGGTCTCTGCGGAAGAGTTTGCACTGGAACAGGACATTTCACGCAAACTGCTTCCCAAGTGGTTTGGACCTTGGTCTGTGACAGCAGCCGCGGGCGATGAGCCCGATGGCCCTTCATTTGTGATCAATATTCCAGAGCATCTGACGGTCCCTCCGGTCTTCCACGCCTCGACGCTGGCAACATACACGCCAACCAAGAGCGACGACTTTCCGGGCCGACGATCGCAGGACCCTCCTTCTATGGATGGCCATCAGGAAGTTGACCGCGTCATCACCGATCGCAAGTACGGCAGCAAGCCGCGGCAGTACAAAGTCACATTCAAAGCATGCGATCGCGACGACACTCGGTGGATTTCAGGAGCAGATTTGAAAGCATCCGCACCGCTGATCTATGCTCACTATGAACGTCAAAGGTTAGCCAAGGGACCTCCACGACCTGCCCCTCCCACCCGGACTGTGGTCTGTGGCAGACTGCGTAACCACACGGGCCCTGTAGGACCCGTCCCGGACATTCAGCCTTAGAGCCTAAAACTTAGGAGCTACAGGCCCCGGTCGTTTCAGCCTGAAAACTGAAAAACGAGGGCCTGCAGGCCCTACTCCGTTTCAGCCTATTTCTGGGTCTTTCAGACCCAGAGTTTTTCCAGCCTGAAACGGAGGGCTATTCTTAGGCCCTGGGCTATTTTTAGGCCCTCVTTTGTTTCGACCTGCCCTAAGATTCAGGCACGAAAACTGGGTTTCGGAACAGGCTATTTCTGGCCTGTTCCCACGCCGGCATTATTGGCAAGAGCACGAGCAGGAGCTGCAGCTGCAGCCCCTGCCTCCCTTCGGCATTATTGGCAAGAGCACGAGCAGGAGCTGCAGCTGCAGCCCCTGCCTCCCTTTGGCATTATTGGCAAGAGCACGAGCAGGAGCTGCAGCTGCAGCCCCTGCCTCCCTTTGGCATTATTGGCAAGAGCACGAGCTGGAGCTGCAGCTGCAGCCCCTGCCTCCCTTCGGCATTATTGGCAAGAGCAGCCTCCTGGACTGCTCGCCCGAGTCAGGAGGCACCCGTGATAGTACATAGGAGCTTCAGGCACTGAACGGGTAGGCAGTTGGAGAGTAGGACGGTAGTCTTCAGATTTCGGCCGCAGCACTCAGGAGGAGCGCTGCAGTAGTCTTCAGCGCTAGGCAGTAGTAGTAGCGCTAGCTGTAGTCTTCGGCGCTGGGCGCCATAGCCATAGCAGTAGTCATCAGCGCTGGGCGCTGTAGGTGGTAGGTAGTAGAGTGGGGAGAGACACTGGCGGAGGCCAGTGGTACGTACCTGTGGCGCCATCGCTCCAGCTCCATCTTCGAGGTACCTGTATCAAGGCGCCAACTTCACAGGTTAGTACTAGAGAGAGAGAGAGAGAGAGAGAGAGAGAGAGAGTTCGTCTTCCTCTTCTTCTCAGTCCACCATCTCTTCTTCCCCTCTCACCACCTGCTTCTCAGTATCAGCGGACTACTACAGAGAGAGATTTGTGACATGAGACTTGACGACATTGGATCCAGACTCGACATTGGGATTCAGACATTTTGACGAGGGACTATTTGGGCCTGTGCTGAACACTTGGTGTTGACGACATTTCCATCTTCCCTTCTTCGTCGTCTAACCCCACCTCCTTCGTCTGTGTATGGTTGGGGCTGGCGCAGTCTTCTTGTGTGAAGCGCCAGACCCCTTCACACCATGATGATGATGATGTATGTTCGGGGCTGCATTACAATATTGATTGTTCGGATCATTGGTATCTAAGTCTTCCGCTGTGCTATCTTATACCTTGTATTGAAAGGTCGGTTCTTGTTCTGGTCTGCACCTATACGGTATGCAACACTGCACTACTCTCCAAATGTGCAAATGAGACTGAATCCACTGCTAGAACACGGAAAAATACATTGCCATCTTTTTTGTCTTTTGCGCACGTGGAGTGCAAATGAGACTGAATCCACTGCTAGAACACGGAGAAATACATTGCCATCTTTTTTGTCTTTTGCGCACGTGGAGAGTACCAAGCATTCGCTCCGCAGCTCTCCAGATGTTCGAAAATGATACTGGATCCTCAGGCAGAAAAGGGCAAGATGCACCGGTTTTCCTTTTTTTTTGGCGTTTTGCAGGTCCTGCATTGGGAAAGTTCGTTTTGCTTTAGCATGGCTCCTGCGCAAGGATCACATTTGCAAATCGAGGGGAAAAAAAACTACTTCAACAAAAGAAAAAACTACTTTCTTTTTTGGGTCTGTCGCAGACATCGCACAGCTGCGAGTTCGCGCACAGCACCTGCGGCCCGCGTGTTGCTTTCCCATGTCGGAAAAAGGCGGTGGGGACGAACGGGATGAGCGGGAGGGGGGGGATGGGAGGGTGAGCACCAGGGCAGTGGACGGGGGGAGGGGCAACGCGAGGAGCAAGAGAGGGACCAGCGGGAGGAGGAGGAACGGGATGAGAAGAGAGGGGGGAAGGAGTGGGGAGCAGCAGGGAGGCACCGCAGAGGGAGCAGTGGGCGAAGAGTAGGTCTGCCGTGGGCGTGGCCATGGTGACCATACTCAGAGAGTTGATTTCCACGGGGCCGAAAGCTGCATGCCGTGGGCGTAGCTTTTTTTTATTTTATTTTTTGTTCCCCTGCTCTTAGTCCCCGCCGCAGTCGCGGCGGGCATCCCCTTGTTCCTTTTAGGTATAGATTGGGGTCGTGTTCCCCCCCCAAAAAAAAAGAAAAGAAAAAGGTATGGATAGTACCCCTTTTAGTAGGTTCTGCCAAATCTAACACTGTTGTCATCCTTAGCTTTCACCCTCCCCTAAGTCAATGCCCCGACCTCGTCCCCCCACCCCCCTCCACCCCGCTCCACCCCGCTCCACTCCTCTTCCCTCCCTGTCTTCATTTTCCCACGATTTTCACCCTCACACCCCCACCAACCCCTTGAAAAGTAGAGAAAGTAGAAGTCAAGTTTGGCTAACCACTGAACTGACAACTGCTCCCTGTTTCCCTGACCGTTCCATCTGACCCCCACTAACCCACTACCGGACATAGTCTCACTCCGCTTCCTGCGTGAATTCCCACCTTCACATCCCCACCCGCCCAATCTCTCTTCCCCAGACTCCCTATCCATCCCCTTGTTACCACCTACAAAAGTTGACTAAATTACATACTTGACCCACACACCGAGAGAAACCTAGACTCACTCATCGAGATTGTTCCGCTGTCATGGTACCGGATCCTGAAACGGGGTCCGAGGTTGGAAGAGGTAGACTGGGTGGGCGCCAAGGGGGATCCGGAGCATCTAGGTGAAATCCACATTGTGAGAGCACAGGACGTCCTGGTGGAATTATATGCAGTTAGCAGATCTGGGGCCCTGCAGAGTAGCTGGAACCCTTCAAATGGTGGGATAAACTGATGCATTTCGGGTCTGAGGGTTGGGAGAGGGAGGGGAGGCCCTATCTTTTCAACCAAACACAGGCATCCGAGACCTGGCCCTGGACCAACTGGAATGGAAATGGAATTCCACAGGGGGGAGAGCGAAACCCACCAGGCAAATTCACCTCCATAAGCTACCGGTTAAGTCCATTTATAAAACGCTCAGGCCAAGGCGCCCCCTAAAGGACGCGATAAACAACAGACGGGCCAGATGCCTCAATGTCGATCGTAGCCTCCTCACCCCAATTCCGTGGTTTCAGGAACGTAGAGCCAAGCCTGCAAATGTCACCTCTTTGCAGTGGCAGATTGCACACCGATGTCTGCTGAGCACTGCCCTGGTGCCCACGGTGTCTGCACACCTTTCCCCCGTGAAAGAGGGCAGAGACCATCGAACATGTATTCATGCAATACCTCGTGGGACAGCTTTCTGGGCACTAGTGGGACAGTATTTGGAGGAAGACGGTGTCGGACCTAACATGGCCTTTGGACTGGAGGGCAATCCTCACGGGGCTCTGGCCGCAGGCACAGGAAGCCTCGGCCTTTGCTGAAAATATGTACAGGCTGGGACGAAGTGCTGTTCTGTGGGGGTTGTGGGGGCAGCGATGTTTGCTGGCCCTAGAAGATGTACGGGTTGGAGAGCCAGAGACAGCAGAGCAGATCAAGCAACAGGTGCAGAGGGAGGTAACGTGGGAATGGCAGGCCCTGAAGGCCCATCTTGACCTCAGATGTGCAAGGATATCAAACGAGCCAGCACCTCCTACTGCAGGGACTGGTTGGGGGGTGAAAGGGGCGGATGGATAGCTAGTCTGGAGTGGAGTGAGGACAAGGCAGAGGGCCAACAATGGGAGATAGTAGAGTCCACGAAGTATCGCCTGGTTTTTAACGACTGGACAAGGATAGAACCCTTCTTGTCTGGAAAAAACTCGAAGCAAGAATGCATACAAAACTTGTTTGCTCACAATTTTTGCATAGGCAGTTTCAGATTAGACAGTCATTCCTCAAGCACTCAGCCTCTCATTCACCCATGATCACTCGCATCCCACTCGACCATCTACAATGGATACACACAATGACAAAGAGACAAGCTTCTCAAGAAACAGTTTTTTTCCATTCGAACATATCCAAAGTCATTAACACCCTTCCGTCCTTCCGCCAGTGGCTACCCCTACGCCGTGTTTCAATCGCCACCACACGATCCTCATCAGGGGCTTCCTGCGTTCCTCAAACCCAACTCGCTGAAAAGACTGACTGTAGAGATAGTTTGGCGCTACAGATCCTGCTGCACTCATGACCCCATCCACTGGCGGGCACTGCAGCCCTTACTCCTACTCTTGAAAGTAGACACTTGTCTACCTCTCAATTTCTGCTTCTCCGCTGCAGTTCCGCTCATGGCGCGTGTGTCAGCGTAGTCTCAGCCCACGGCTAGGGCTGTGGACGCACCAGTAGTTCGCCTTTTCCTATTTCCTTTTTGAAGCAGTACTTAGTTCTAGTAACATATCCATGATTTAGTCTAAATGCGTGTCTCCCAGCTGGAAAATCACAAATCCTACCAGGACGAAAAGAAAGGAAAAGCAAAGAGAATTCCCGCTCGGCTTTGAGCCACCTCCCTAACACCTAGATCCTCTTTCCGCCCCTCCAAAAACCACTAACTGTTTTTATCGTTTTCGGGGCGGTTCGAATCTTCCGTCAGCCTCAATACATGAAACGGCAATGTGCATCCATAAATATTAAATATTAATACAAAAAATAAAAGTGCGAGGATTTGGGTCCTCGGCATGCCCGTGAATGGGCCCCTACAGCAAGCATGAGCCTTCCCTAAGTGAAGGTGGGCCCCTGAATCTCAATGTGGCCTGAATTCGTCAATTTTGCAAGTCTTGGTGGGCGCCATTCAGTTACCACGTGCCAGTCGGTTACATCCTCCCCGCTCATGAGAATCAGAAACATTTGTGAGCCTTCTAGGCTCTTCCAGCCTCACAGGGGAAGCAGGGAACACCGCACATTTGCGCCTGGGTGGTTGGGCACGCCTAACCAATTTGGTCACAGGCCACTGTGTGAATGGGCCTGGGCACATACACTTTGGCCAGACGTGAAGCTACTGGGCACACGGGTGCCAGGCCCAGGCAGCAAACACAGCACTTTCCATATAGGAAAGTGCCCGCCTGCCATTCAGTCATTCGGGCACTTGGTGGTACGTGCGGCAGCGCTGCTGGAACGAGTGCTCATGCCTGCCTGCCGTGCACTTGGTGCGTGAACGCGAGCGCGGTCGCGAGAGGGAGACAGCAGGGCACTGAAAGAAGGCAGGGCCATAGCCCAGCCCCCATAGTCGGGCTTGGGCTTGGAGGAGGTCAGTGTGGTATGGCAGTGGTCTTCGGGTAGTGAGGAGGCGTGGGAGATGGAGTCGAGGGTGAGCATGCATGGGCGAGTAAGGATGTGATGTGAGAGCACGTACCTGGTCTGGGTGGAGGTCTACATGGTCGACATCTGCATGTACTTTGGTTGCTGTTGCTGATGTCAACGGTTGCTTTGTCAATTCGTAGGCTGGTAGAATAGCGGTGTGATTGTAGTCTGGGCGCTGAGCGGCAAGTAGCAGGAAGAGCTCTGGATACAGTGTTGATGGTGGCGAGAGTATGCTCTCATTGACATTTGAGTTCGGTGCTTCGGTTCTCCCTCGGTGTAATGTCAGTGCATTTCTGCTTTCTGGACAGCTATTGACTATCTGGCCTCAATGTGATTTTGCAATCTGGAATTATGTCATTTTGGCGATGATTTCGCTATTGCTCATTTTCCTTGCAATTTGGTATGGCAGCTGGTTCGTGCCATTCCGCTGGCTCCAGCGCAATAGCTGTTTGGCGCTTCGTCGTGGACGGCGAGGCGGTGATAAGACTTGTGCATTTGGTATTTAGGTGGGCCTGTGTGGTGAGGGTGTGCCAGGAAGGCTATGTGGTGACATTGGGGTACGTGCTGGATGATGAGAGCCGCTGACGTGGCATTTAAGCCGAGGTGGAACTGCATTATATTGTGGGTTGTGCCGAGCACTGATTGGTCATCATAAATGCACGTCAGGTTACTGGTGAGAAATATGTGGTTGGGGGCAGCATTATGAGGTACATTGCACCTTACCTTATCTACCCTCTTCGTGAGGAAGTTTGTCTTGTCTTGGGAGTCCTCTCATAGTGAGGTGTTGCGAGTGCTCAACCTTGAGTCGACATTCTTCCTGGTGAGCACGCTGGTGGGAGAAGGGCACCCTGGACGAAGCACATGGGTCACGGTTACCATGCCAACCCAGTGGGAGTGGAGCACGCATGCTTCGGTGCTGAGTCCTTTGGTCTGCTTTGCTGCGCTGTAGAGGTCATGTTGGGCAGGCCAGCCCTATGGGGGAGGGACGAGTACCAGAGCGTCTATAAAGAGACTCCGGCAGGGATACACAACTCGCGCTGTACACGGAGTATAAAAATAGTACGGATGGGGCTGGCCAGTCTTGCATTGACTTGGGGCACAGGGGTGGGCCGATTGCACACCTTTAGGCACACTGCTCAACCAGAGCTCTAGGGACTCGAGAAAGATTGAGGGGAGGGGAAGATTTCAGTAAAGTGCTCGATTGTTAATTATTGTTTATTTCCATTCGGCTTGCATTCCACCAATGGTTCTATTTTTATTTTGATTAGTTAGTTGTTATGGACTCTGCTGGCAACTGACAAACTGCTGCAGGTAGAGTAGAATATTATTCTTTGCTGCATTGCATTCTGTTTTGGACTAGTCAACGTAGGAGTAGGATTGTTTGTAGGGGTCTGAGCTTATCTGCTGTTACTGCTTGACTACTTTTTGACTTATCTGGACCAAACAACTATTTTACTTTTATTTATTTTAAGAATCGGTTGGATGACACGCTGCGGTAGGTCCCAGCAAGGACATTAGTGCAGATCGCCTGCCATGTGTAGCTCATGAGTGAAGATGACAGCGAGGTAGACCAGGACGATAGGAGGCTTACCCGCAGACAGGCACTCAGCCGGCGGACCATTTTCTTGGTGCGAGAACGAGGAGAGGAAAGGAGACTGCGTAGAGAAGCTGAGGGGAGCGCAGGCAGCAACAGCCAACGCAGAGAGAGCATTAGTAACTGCGGCAGCAGCACACACTCGAGCTGAAGCAGAGGCAGCAATGACTACCTCCTCTGCAATGTCGCAGACCTCTTTCCAGGTCTCTTCGTCAGGTGTAAGTCAGGGGTTGCCCAGCCTTTCGTCAAATCTGTCTGCTGGCTTGCAGGGCAGCCAGCAGCAATCAATGTCAGCGGAGGACTCTGAGATCCAACAAACAGAAGAACTTCACGAGTTGCGGCGCTAGTTGAAGGAGGTAGAGGATAGAAGACAGAATGCTAGAAGGAGAAAAGCTAGACTAGCAGCAGGGGGAGAGGAGTTAGGTAGGCTTGAAGCTATTGATGAGTCAGAGCTTGATCCTGCTGTTCGGTCCCTTCAGCTCAGTCTTTGAGTGTGGCCGAGGTACAGGCCGTGCACGGCGTGCAGCAGGAAATGGTGGCTGCCTTGATAACTGGCCAGAATGAAATTCTGACCGCGTTCAGAGTACCTAGGCCTATGGCTAGGCCGCTGTAGCTCCGCCAGCGGTGGCAGGTCCATCGATGAAGCTGACTCCAATGCGAAGTCCCTTTGTTCCTGCGTTTGGCATCAGTCCAACAGGCGATATACTAGCGGGTGTTAGTGGGCAGACTCCGGGACCACCTTCTTCGGAGTGGCTACTGCTACAGGGAAGCCGCATGTCCAGCAACCTTCGCAACAGGTACTGCAGCAGCAGCCTGTGCAACCGCTGCCGCAGCAACCTGTCCCACCGGTGTCCCAACCGGTGCAGCAGGCACATGTCCCTGGGCAATCAGTGAGTGGATGCCCAAGATTCCACTCTTAACTCCTAAACCTTTTTCCTGCAACAAAAAAAAGGAGGAGGAATCAAACACTTTAGGAAACTGCCCACTTGTGTGAGGCACAAGCTCACAAGGCCTGAGGAGGAGGTCATTGTTGCTGCGTTCTTTCTAGAAGGATCAACAGCCAGATCATTAGACGGGTTGGTGCAGCAGCACGGTTTCTGTCAGGACTTCTATGGCTGGGCGCAGACCTGTACTTTGGAGGAGTTCGTACGGTTGGTCTACAATAAGTGGCATGACCCTCAGGGGGCACAGAAGGCTACCGACTCACTGGCAGGCCTGGCATCCAAGAAATACCAATCAGTCTGTGAGGTAACCAATACCGTAGAGCGCTTGATCATTGTCCCAGGTGTGCGGTACAATCCGCAGGTCCTTATGACAACTTACGTGCGGTGTCTCCCTGAAGATGTCAAAAATAAGTTGGTCGATGAGGCCTTCATCGACGTACATGACTCTGCCTTGTTCAGTAAGAAGGCCTTAGAGATAGAGGCCCGACTCGGCAGTGCGCACAAATCACTGACGGACAGGGGTAAGAAGAAGATACCCCAGGATTGCAAGAAGAATGGCAATCTCATGTTTGTTGGACATGATGGCAGCACCACTGAGATTGAGGACTTCTCTGACCTTGGGGAGGAGACAGAGGAAGACGTGGGCACAAAAATTTCAGAGGGTGGAGTAGCTGCTCCCATAAAGGAAAAGGCTAAGGGGGTCCTGGAAACAGAAGGGAAGGGTCAAGTGGAACAAGTTCCACCTATATGGGTGAAACTTGGATTGGAGTGCGACGTGTGGCGTGATCGCCTTGCTCAAGGCATGTGTCTGAATTGTGGCCAATATGGGCGCACAATGAGTTGCTGCAAGAGCAAGCATGTCACCGGGAAGGTAGCTTCCTCAATTGTGGTTGTGGGACCTTCTACCTCGGGTGGTGCCTTTGGAAGCACCTTGCAGGGAAACACATCGTGCCAGTAGGAGTTATAGCTTCTCCTACCCATGTTTAACCTCACCCTCTACACTTCAGATGATGGTTGACGCTATTGACCCCCAAATCGCCCCACAGACAAATCCGGGCCAATCGATATTATGTTCGATGGATGTGTCTGAGTCCTTAGAGGAGTTAGAAGTTGAGTGGACAGAGAAGGATCCTAGAGACTCCTGGGCGATGAAGGCAAAAGGTCCTAGGGGTGAACATTTTGTGGTAGAAATCGATGTAGCTGGCCGAAACGTTGGTGCTTTCGCAGACATAGGTTCTACGCGAAATTTCATCAGTCGTGATCATGTGGATAACCTACGCTTAGGGGACCAAGTGCAGTGGCTTAGTAGATTTATAGCATCGACCTTGGCCAACAAGCACTCCATGGTTGTGAAGGAATACATCAAGGATGTAGTCTGTACCTTCTCCTATGGAGGAGGGGAACTGAGACACATGATCTCGTTCCTAGTTAGCGATGTGCTGCCCTTCAATATGCTGCTAGCAGTGCTAGGTATGTACTACCTCGAGGTTGCTAAGCCTCGGTTTGACTGGGATAGGAAGGTGATGATGTACAAGTTGCCAAATGGGAAAACCGTTAGACTCCAAAAGTACAAAGCAAGCAGACTAGTCGAGTCTTATGGTTGCATGTGTGCGTCAACTTTCTATAATTATTAGTAGCAGAATCGTGAGGAAGGCATGTATCTAGACTTTGTCTCTGAGAAAGGGGAGGCCATAAAAACACCACCAGAGATAGAAGCAGTTGTTGCTCAATAACCAGACCTTTTTGAGGAACCTAGAGGTCGCCGAGAGGGAGGTAGACGACAACTCAAGCAGCTCACAGAGAAAGGTTGGATCCGGCTTAGTACGTCCCCCTACGGTGCGCCAGTACTGTTTGTTCCCAAGAAAGGGGGGACCTTGATGTGCATTGATTATAAGGGCCTCAATGCCATCACAATTAAGAACGTCGAGCCCCTACCTCGCATCGATGACCTCTTGGATAGTGTGCAGGGATGTCGATACTTCAAAAAGGTAAATTTGAAGTCCGGATACCATCAAATTGTTACAAGGCCCGAGGATCAACACAAAAACACTTTCCAGACCAGGTACGGTCTGTATGAGTTTGTGGTGATGCCTTTCGGACTTCGCAATGGTCCTGGGTTATTCCAACATGCAATGAATAGGATTTTTCATGACTACTTAGATAAGTTTATCGTTGTGTACCTCAACGACATGTAGGAATTGTGCTAGGGCTCCTAAGACAGCACCGGTATAAGATTAAGTTGTAGAAATGCGAGTTCGGTCGCACCAAGATCTTGTACCTGGGTCATGAAATTTTAGCGGATGGTTTGAGGTCGGGCGATGCCAAGGTGGCCGGCATAGATGACTGACCTAGACCTCAGTCTGTGACTGAGGTGAGGTCTTTCTTGGGGATGACGGGCTGTTACCGCCCGTTTGTGAAGAACTGTAGTACTATAGCTTCCCCACGGACTGACCTCACGTGCCTGGACACCCCATGGGAGTGGACTGATGAGTGTGAGGGAGCTTTCAAGAAATTGAAGTATGCACTCACGCATACGAATTCCTCAAGCTTCTGGTTCTTGAGTTGCATTTCATTGTGACCACGGACGTTAGCCAATATGGCATTGGTGCGGTCCTTGCGCAGCAGGACGAAAAAAAGTTGAGGCCAATTGAGTACATAGCAATAAGATGTTGTCTCAGAAAATAGCCAAACCCACTTACGAGTAAGAGCTTTATGCCCTATATGAGGCGTTAACTCACTGGAGGCACTACCTCCTTGGCATATTTTTCTATATGAGATCAGACCATGAGACGCTTCGCTGGATCAAAACGCAACCTGCTGTCTCCGACGCACTCAAGAGATGGATTGAAGTCATAAATATGTATGACTTCAAACTGGACCATGTGAAGGGAGAGTACAATAAGGTAGCGGATGAA